CCACCACTCCCCATTCTATGGCAGATGTGACTAACTGTCTGGGGAATTTATTTCCCATATGATAGCTTTGTATGTGACACAGTTCATGACAGGCATGACTAATTGACCAGGGAACTCACTAATGAATGCTGCCACTATCCTGCCTCCATGGCAGATACACGATGGAGTAGGCTCTTCTGTGCCACTTGCCCCATCCCTTATCCTTTGCCTGTGGCAGACATCACTTGTTGATCCTAGCATTCTTGCCCATTGCACCTAGAATTCTTACCACAGCACTTCAGGCAGCTCCTACTCGTTGATGGGTGTGGCCCCCACATGCGTGGTATTTGCCATCCCTGTTGTTCCACTTCCTCTCCTTGTGTGGCCCAGCCCAGTGGGTAGCAGCTGCTGCTTAAGTCTGACAGTTGAACTCTCTTCAAGGTGCCTGCCTCTGGGCAACTGGCTCAGCCCCAGCTCTCCACCTTGGAGAGCAAGGCCTGGGCCCCCAGCCCTAACAACAGCCTCCTTCTCTGGGACGGTCTCCCACCACCAGCCACTGAGGCACTGGGTCCCACAGCTGCCCCCTAGCATGGATCTTCGACCCCAAGATCTTTCCAGTAGCTGAGCTGATCCTGTGCCAGGGCCTCACTTGTGCCCGGGGCCTAGAATTCTCTCAGAGGATCCAGAAAGAGCCAGAGCTTGGGGGCGGAGGGAGCAAGAGGAATGGATTGTCTTTGGCTCCTGATTCCCACGTCACCTCCAACCTCCTTGGAACTTGAATGATTTCTTGCCTCTAAACAGTCCAGGGGCCTGCAAGGTTTAGTCATTCTTTTCCTGCTGGATTCCAGACCCCTGGCTACAAAGCCCAGCCCTGCCGTGGGCATGGCTGGTCCCCGGGTCTCCAGCTGTGGTTGCTGTCCCTGCCTGGGCAACTGGGGCTGGAACCCTCACCTGGGAGGAGGCTGGCCCACCCTGCTGGTGGGCACCAGCTGTGTCGCTTCTTGCCCGCTGCCCATGCTGTCCCTGTGGTCCTTTCTTCCACCCTGGCATGCCTTGCTGTGTACCCTGGAGCCTCGCCTGCCTCTTCTGTCTCTCCTGCCCATCCTGCTCCCATCACCCATTGTTTTAAGCCCAGTCCCCTTGGGCACAAATCTGGCTTTTGGATGAGAGGGCCCAGGTACTCCTTTTCCTTTAGGCTCAGCGCCAGTGTCTGCCACCCACAGCTTGCATCTTTCCATGGCGGGGTTCTGGTTCTAACCCCAGTTGGACTCACATGAAGGCAGCTCTCTGAATGGCTCGAGGGAGAAGGGACCTGGGGGCTTCTGCAGGTCCGATTAGCAGCCTCCTGCCCTGAGACTCAGATGCGCCATTCCTGGCATGGCCCCCATCTCATACCACATGCCCTGTAGGCAAGTGAGGCCACCAAAGGGTGGTTGGGGCACAGGCGGGGCCCATGAGTGCAGAGGCCTCCTGGGAGGATTTATCTGGGAACACTGACAGCCTGTCTTTCTGTCCCCCTCTTCCTCCCTTCCCTGGCTGTCAATCATGACTGAATTGAAGGTTAGAAACACCCACTCTGGGCCTGGACTAACCTGGGGCAGGCCCTACTTACCCCCGGGGAGCAGAGGAGCAGGCATGAGCAGAGCCCCGAAACTTGGGAGCTGGATGTGGTGGCCAGATACAGGGGCTGCTTCCCGGGTCCAAGCAGGAAGGCCTTGGGCCTGAGTCTGGAGACCACCCTTGCCCTCAGCATGACCTACTTTCCTGCTCTACCTGAGACTCGAGACTTTTAGTGCTAAACTGGGGTGTTGGTCATCGTGCTGCGAGGGAGGATACCATGGCCTCTGCCTGCTTCCTGACGGCCAAAAGATTCCAAAATGCTGTCTCGTCATCCAAGGGAGGGAGAAGTCTATGCCCTTGTCCTTAACCAGGGCTTCCAGCTGGCATACCATACCATCTCCAGCCTGGGCAGGGGCTTCTGAGCGCTCTGTGGCCATCTCCATCTTTATGTTCTGAGGCTCAGAGCCTAAGTCTAGCCCCAAGAGAAGTAGGGGTTGGGGGTTGGTCTCCCTGTTAAGATTTGGTAAGCCTGGGGTCAGGTCAGGGTAGGCAGAATGCAGCCTGTCCTGATACCCACCCACTAGGAAGGTATGTGGGCCCCAGAAGCACCCCCAAATCCTCATGTAGGGTGCTCCTGCCCCACCCCATTCTGGGGTCCCACCACCAGCTCTTCTCAGCTATTTGTGGCCGCTTGCAGCCTACTCTCTGCAGGTAGGCATGGGCTGTTGCTGCCATGCCCCAGGCAGCCCTGCCTGTGCCTCCACATGCTTCCCGCTGCCCTGGGGTCCCCAGTCCAGATTGGTGGGGGGCTCTGGCCCACACATGTCTTCATGGCCCAGGGATCATGAGAGCATTGCCCCCCAGGCTGCCTGTGTATAGCTGTCAGGTGAGTCCCCTGCACCAGCCTGGGTCCTGCCTCTCACTCAGATGACAGCCACCGCCTGATGACCCCGTCCAGGAGGTCTCCCAGCCTGATGTGTCAGACAGGAAAGTGGGACGACAGGGCATATTCCCTGCAGGCCCCCAGGGCTCCGGATGAAGGCATCCCTTCACCCTCACGCCCTGAAAGGGAGCCCCAGCGTGGGGGCTGCCAAAGCAGGTACCCGTGCCCGCTGAGCACCTGCCCTGGTTTGCTGTCAGAGCCAGCAGAGTAGGCAGCAGAGTCACGGCTGGGTTGAGCCTCTGCCGCTTGGCTCCTGAAAGGAAAAAGGAACTGTCTCATTGTGGGGGTGACTCCTCCAGTCCTCCATTGACCTTCCAGAGGGGATGAGGGGCAGGGCCCAAGGGCATCCCTCCTGCCCATGTCTCATGAAGATAATTGCGATCATCCACTGTCACGTGCTGTGTGGCTGCACACACAAGCCTGGGTCCCTCCTCAGGGCCCCTTTCAGCAGGCATACCTTTGCCACCTGTGCTAACTCATCCTAACCCCAGGCATGTGAGGGGATCAGTGACTGTCCACCCAAGTGCCCCATATGGGTTTCCAGCAGAAAGTGCTTGGGGCAAGATGAAGTTGGTTGGCTGTTTTTTATATAAATAAATTTTTATTTATTGATTAATTTTAAAGAGGAAGGGAGAGACATCAGTTTGTTGTTCCAGTTATTTATGCATTGATTGATTGATTGATTTTTTAAAATATGTTTTTATTGATTTCAGAGAGAGGAAGGAACAGGGAGAGAGAGCTAGAAACATCTATGATGAGAGAATCATGGATCAGCTTCCTCCTAAACGCCCCCTACTGGGGATCATGCCTTGACTGGAAATCAAACCATGACCTGGTTTATGGGTCGACACTCAACCACTGAGCAACACCAGCTGGGCTATTTGATTTTTATTAAATATATTTTTAAAAAATTGATTTGAAAGAAAGGGAGAGAGAAATATTGATTTATTGTTCCACTTATTTATGCATTAATTGGTTGATTCTTGTATGTGCCATGGCCAGGGATCGAACCCACAACCTTGGCATATCGAGATGTTGCTCTAGCCAACTGAGCTACCCAGACAGGGCCTCATTGGTATATTCTTTTTTTTAAAATATATTTTTATTGATTTCAGACAGGAAGGGAGAGGGAGAGAGAGATAGAAACATCAATGACGAGAGAGAATCATTGATTGGCTACCTCCAGCACGTCCCCTACTGGGGATCAAGCCCACAAACTGGGCGTGTGCCCTTGACAGGAATCGAACCTGGGACCCTTGAGTCCACTGGCTGATGCTCTATCCACTGAGCTAAGACTGCTAGGGCAGTAGATTCTTATATGTGTCCTGACTGGGGATCGAACCCACAACCTTGATGTATTGGGCTGACGCTCTAACCAACTGAGCTACCCGGACAAGGCCTCATTGGTATATTCTTTTTTTTTAAATATATTTTTATTGATTTCAGACAGGAAGGGAGAGGGAGAGCGAGATAGAAACATCAATGCCGAGAGAGAATCATTGATTGGCTACCTCCAACACGTCCCCTACTGGGGACCAAGCCCACAAACTGGGCGGGTGCCCTTGACTGGAATCGAACCTGGGACCCTTGAGTCCACTGGCTGATGCTCTATCCACTGAGCTAAGCCTGCTAGGGCAGTAGATTCTTATATGTGTCCTGACTGGGGATCGAACCCACAACCTTGATGTATTGGGCTGACGCTCTAACCAACTGAGCTACCCAACCAGGGCAGGTTGGCTGTCTTTGGGTTGTAGGTATCTCTGTCTTGTTCCCTGGCTTCCTGTCTTGCTAGGGGGCAATGGCTCTGGCTGCTGTGCTGTGGGTGGGCTGGGCTGGGCGGTGGGTCCTCCACTGAGCTGTGTCCTTCTCTTCAGGTGATCCGCAAGGGCTGGCTGACCATCAACAACATCAGCCTCATGAAGGGCGGCTCCAAGGAGTATTGGTTTGTGCTGACGGCCGAATCTCTGTCCTGGTACAAGGATGAGGAGGTGAGTGGCTGCCAGAGCTGGAGCCCAAGGGCAAGAATAGTGGCCCCTCACTTGTCACTCCCTCACTCACTTATTCATTCATTTGTTTACTCATTCACTGACTCGTTCATTCAAGAAATGTTTCCTGAGTACCACTGTGCCTCAGAGGTCACCATTAGGATAGTAACAGCCAAGGCTGGAGGGTGTCCCAGGCATCACATCATATCCAGCCCCTATGGCCCCTGTGGGGTCCAGCCGGATGAAGGAAAGGAAGATGGGGGAGGGAGCCACTGGTGGGCTGGAAACAGACCCCAGCTTCCAAAGGCATAGCAAGGGGAAGTTCTGGCTCTCAGAGGGAACACAGCCTGGGGTCAGGACTCAGGCTGACAGCCAGGCTGCTGGAGTATTGGGATTCCATGGGATACAACCTATATGGGCTCAGCCAAGCCCCTAGCCTCTCTGGGCCTTCGTTTCCTCACCTGTGAAGTGAATGAATGGCCCCTACCCACTGTGAGGTGCTGAGCCATAGCGTCGTCTTTAGAACATTACACACTTCCTTGTCCTGATCAGAAGGACAGAGGGAGGCCTCGTGGAATAGCACCAGGAGCTGCTGGGAGCACCTCAGGGAGCAGTATTGCATGCTGTTTGAGCTGCTGTCTCCATGAACAGGGAGCAGGGGGCAGGGAGGGAGGGAGGCGAGAGGGAGGCGCTGCTCTTCAGGTCCATCCTCTGTCTATGCTCTAGCCCAGTGGTCGGCAAACTGCGGCTAATGTACCTCAATCAGATTGAGGATGTTTTTAGCAAAGGCCAGCTTAGGAGTACCCTAATTAAGTTAATAACAATGTCCCTACCTATATAGTTTAAGTTTAAAAATTTGGCTCTCAAAAGAAATTTCAATCATTGTACTGTTGATATTTGGCTCTGTTGACTAATGAGTTTGCCACCCGCT